ACACATATATATATATATATACATATATATATATATATATTGTAATGTATGTATATGTGTATATATATGACATTGTATTATTTAACGTGTTGCTCGAAACACATTATTGCGATAAATATCATCACATAGCTCAGTAGTCGAAAAGATATCTGTCTGGTGAGCACGGGATTTAGATTTGATTTCTGGCTGAAGTAATTTTTCGCAAAAATAATAATTAAGAATTTTCGCCTGGTTCGTGATCGGTACCCGCCATACTGTACAACCCTTTCTTCTTACTCGGAGAATTTATATTATAATCTCTGAAAATCTTATTACTGGCATTTATATTATAATACCAGTTGTACTTTCACGTGATTCACTTCGCCCGCGAGTTTGGATTCACGCTGAAGTACTCCGTTTTCTCCATTGAAATCGGCATCTTTTTCATCACTCAATGTTCGTCAATGTCAATTTGCAATTGCAAAAAGATCCCTGTTTGCCGACTTTATAAATCTTATCTTGAATAAATGTATTTCTATGCAGATGTAGATTCTTAAGTTTTTTGCAAGGCATTGCATCGTATTTCTTAAATATTTTTATTAAAATGCAATATACGTAATATATATTTTTGAAGAAATATTTATTCTAAAAGTAATGTATATAATTTTATTTATATGTGAAATGTTATTCGATAAACTTATGATTATAAAGTACAAACTTAGTTTTTGCTTTGCTACTTGATAACAAAACATTATAAAAATAAAGTTTTTATTACCTTAAAAATTTATTATATATTATATTTAATGCTATACAAATATCTTGAAATATTTTAATTATACAACAAGTACTAATAAAAATTTATTATAATAAAATAAGAGATCTATGGATTTTTATAAATAATTTAAAACTAATCTAATAACATATAAAAATAAAAAGAAATCATTGTCACGGATCATAAAATAAAAAATTTAACAATATTTGTAAGAATAGAAGGATTTTTATTCACCATTATATTCTTGATAATATAATCCATAAAATAAACCACAAAAGTCCAGATGGGACGCATTAATAATTACATGTCATTCGAGTTTAATGATACCATTAAGGTAACGTAGGAAGCGGACGTTTTCATGAGCTTAAAAGTATAATATAATATTAAACATATTCTTTCATATAAAATTAAAGAAGATATTTCTATATATTTTAAATGAAATAGAGAAACCGATTATATATACAGATTTTAAATTATTTGTTTTTATATAATTATTATTATATATTATATATATTTAATTTTTTCATACCGTGCTGTAACTTTCCATGCAGATGACGTATAATTTAGTCATAGTAATGCGATATGGTTTTCGACATTTCATCATTAAAAACAGCAATATCTTTTTTGCTTCCAAAGACATTTGATACCACTTTCCATTATATCTGAAAATATATTATAATTTTTTAGTTGAGGGACTGTCAATTCATCAAATTAATAACTTACGCTGCAAAAGAAACTTGTGAACTGTGATCTATAATTCTCTGGCCTATCCAGCAGTTGAAGAAAAATCTAGCAGTTTGAATGAGCAAAAGCGGAAAATTTTTTACTAAATACAAAGTATCTGTATGAGTCACAATCTGCACAATAATGCACAAATTATAAAAATTAATTAATTTTTTGTCAATATAGAAGAAAATATTTTTCCATAAATCGACAATTTATTAAATTACTTTTATGATTACTTATTAAAAATTTGTTATATACCATAACAGATGCAGAACATTGAAATAGAATTCCCAAGCCGATGTCGGTAAAAAGACATATCGCAAACATCGATTCAGTTAACTGGATTAGTCTATTAATAATAATAATAATAATAATACAGAAAGGAAAACTCGTATATCATATTTATAATATTTATAATATTTTCCAAAAGACTTTAATTAGATTACTTCATTAGATTACATTAACCTTTCTATTCTGATTTGTAGCTGTATACATTGTACCATGTTTTTAATATCCCTATCTCTCTTAGATATGGCGTTACTATGATCGATATCCTCCGTATCATGTAATTTTTCCAAACGGCGACTGCAAATATAGGTATGCATGTAGAAATATTTTTCTTAATAAAAATTAATTACGGCAAAACTGAAGTACCTCAATATAGCTAACACACCACAGATGTGTTGCAACAGTGCGAAATAAATTGTATCGACTGCGATCACTAGCATACAGCAAGCAATGTATCCTATATATGTAATTCCAAGAATACTGTAATAGTGTTTCTCCAAATCGAGGAAAAATACACCTACGTGTGGCAATCGTTTCGGTCTCGTTACGTCCGATCCCATGAGTATGTCGAGTATCGGTACAGTCAATGGTGCCGTCAGGTAAAAGAATGCACCAGTGCTTATAAAAACTAAAAATAGCATTGTTTCTTTATCAAAATTGCGCATGCAAGCGATTATTGGATATACTTATTGTTAAATGTACTTATGTAGACTAATGTAAAGATACGGCTCTTTTCGATGTATTCTATTAAAATCCAAATATCATCGTGTTGTGATAACAAATTCCAATCGTGACATACGTGTTGAACGAGCATTTTAAACTGAAAATAAAGTAATTTTTTGTGAATAAAAAATAAATTTCCTTATAGTGCTACGCATTATGTACTTACTTTTTTACTATTCCAATGAAAAGCAATTCCTTTCACGAAACATATAAATGCGCCAGCCAGCGTTGGTAGAACATTGTAAAGATCATTCAAATTTTTCGAATATTTAATCAAATATATAATCTGTTAATAAATACTATCGTATATTATATTTGATGCATTACTTTTGATATCTATTTCACAAAAGTATATGATGAAATAGGCAATAATTGATTAACGTGATGTCATTTGGTGAGTTTTATAAAATTGGAAACTAGCTCTATCAATGAATAATTTGATTTATGTAATTGTAGTAGTGTAGTACAGTGAACAAAATTTTAAAATGATTGACAAATAAAAAAAATGTATTGGAAAGCCGAAAATGATATTCTCATAATAAACTGGTCTGCTTACTCTTCAAATTGAAAATATTTAGATTACCATAAAATTTAAACGCCTCGCGCCAAAATCATAAATTATTATATTTTTTCGTAAAAATTTTCATAGGAATAAAAACTGCAGGCAATCAACAATAAAATCAATAATAAAAACGATTGAATCTATTAAACAATTTAACATTTTAGTTTACTTTTATTCTATACAAGTATTTTTTACTTGGATTCTTACTCTTTATCGATCATACATTTCCAAAGAATAATTGAATGTTCCAATAATTGTCAACGAAAACTCGTATTATAAAAAATTTAATTGATTTTTTTACAATCTTTTAATTCATATATAATAATTTTCGAAATACCTGCGGCAAAATTACAATTTGTGTACAAATTAATACGCAACAAAAAATTATGTTCTTATTATATAACGATTGAATCGGCCACTGGCCTGTGAATAAGAGCAATAGTTTGTTAACTCGAAAATATCGGGTGTCAAAGACGTCCATTCGTTCGCTTGTGCTTGTGTCAAAGCAGAATTCTTGAATAACTAAAAGTGAGGTCTCCAATAAACCGTCTGACTCATTTAATATTCTCTTGGAGTGTCGATGCGTTGCTAACAGAAAAGGAATACATTATATACCGATTTAAATGGAATCCATAATAATGATAGATAATAAAAACAGGCCTCTCGCAATTGAACAATTCGCGAGAAATCCTGCAATTTTAATTCCACGTGTCGTCGACATAAAGTAACACGATATTGACCCTTAGTTTTGCGTGACATATTCGTTTTTGTAAAATAATCGATGATGGCTACACGCTGTATGACAATTATAATTTGTCGCCTTACACTGGTTATATTAAGCATATATTTTAAAATAAAAAGAAATATATTTATTTGTGAATTAATTTATAATATTTATTTAGTTTATAGCAAATGCATTTATATCGATGGAATTTTGATTTAATATAAATGAATTAAAATAACATCCAAAAGTAATTACAATAATATACAATAATATAAAAAGTGTTTGTATGAAAATCAATTATAACATGAAAATTAATATTTCACAAGAAGACATAAGTATAGTATACATTTGTCGATACATATTTGTAGTAAGAGAAACTTATATCTTTTTTATCTACGTGATAATATTTAGAATATTATTAATTAGATTCATGTTAATTACATGCCGTTTGATTCTTCATGTATTGACAGCATTATCAAACAATATGAGAGTGACGCTTTTATTATCTTAAAAAATTAAAAAATATTTTAATGTAACAATACATGATATGTCAAGATCAGATATCATAGATTATTTAATTTAGTATTTAGTATTTAGTATTTATAGGCATTTATTTTATCACATCTACCTGTTCGTTCTTATTAAATTTTGTAAAAGATTAATTACTGTGTTTTTTTTAATGATATACAAACAACTGTACAGTTTAAACTGTACAGTTCAAATTTAGATTATTTGTACATTATTTTAAAATATCTATATTTTTAGACAAGTTAAAATGATATAATAACTATAACAACTCATTATTACCACTATGAAGCTTTCCAAGTTCACCACAAATGACTTCGCTACCGTTATTTCACTGATTGACTGGCTTTTTGCAATTAGCATTAAGAGAATTTCTTTGGCTGTGTTCGATGTTTCGTATCATGCTCCATTATACCTGCATAAAAATTTAAATTTAAAATAAATAGAAATACTGAAATACTGAAATACTGAAATACTGAAAATTTTGTAATGACTTACGCGGCGATGTACACTTCGACGTTATGATCCGCTATTTGCTGGCCTAACCAACCATGCAAAAAAAGGCGACAACTTTGGCAAATCAATAGTGCGAGATACACTACGATTTCGCAGCCGCCTGATTCAGTCGAAGTACGCTTTGTGGCATTGAATCACATCAAATCACCTTATTTTCTCATAAATTGGATTGGAATACTTGTTTCATGTGATATTTGGTAATCCTAAAACTTTATCGTTGCGCATAGAGTACAGTGCATCACGAAATCTAAACCAATTTCGAAAAATAGAAATACCGCAATGTGCTGTCGATTTTCTTTGTAAACCTTAAATTAATTATTTTGTATTAAGTACCGTTAATTTTAATACAAAATTTTTGTTTTAATGTTCATATTGACGCTTTTATTTTTATGTGCGGGCGAATGCATCGAATCAAATGCTGGACAATATTATTCCACTTCGAAGAAGAATCAACTTTTCGTTTTGAATGACTTCGAACTGTATTTTCCAAATGGTAGCTGTATAAAATACACTTACATAAGCATTTAAAAAAATTATGAAAAATTCTGTTGACATAACACAATTACTTAATTAAAGAAATCTATTACATGTTACTTATTAATAATAGTTAATATAAAAAAATTATAGATAGTTTTCTCTTCATATTATAACACTCTGCTTCAAACAACGTTTTTGACAATGTTTTAGATAATAATAATTTAAATAATCTGTCGTATTCTATTATAAAATAATTCACACCTTAGAATGTCAAATTTAGTGTGCGCAAGCATGTTCTATGAAGACAAAGTAGATTGTATCAATTGCCACTACGACCACCATATACATACCCACAACATAAGCGTAATACATGCTCATGAGCAGAATATAATACTTTTTTTGATCCACCAGAAATTCGGGTGCATAAATTTTCTCGGTCTCGTTACATTTAATGGACATAATATCGAGCAGTGGGTTAATGAGAGTCAGTAATGCATAACGAACGAGATCACCGAAACTAAATGAAAGGTTTGCGATGAGTAAAAATGCACGCATATGTGCGACTTATTGTCAGTTAATTCGTCACACCTGCATATATCAATGTAAACTTCCACGTAAGCTTGCTTTGTGAAGATCTGTTTCGCTACACTCGAGACGTTTGTCCAGTCATCGCGAATTTGTTGAAGCAGACTTTTGAACTGGTCATAAGATCGTATCGTAATAAGTCAAGCCTATTTACCGTTACACGATTTATAGATACAGCTTTGATAAAAATGCTTACCTTCTGAAAGTGATAAATTAAACGAGTAAATTTGGCTGTGAATGTTACCGTGCCGGCTAAGATGGGCATGACTTCCAATAAATGATTCACGTCGTCCGAATAATTAATATATTAATTTACATAAATAATTTACATGAACATGAACTGAATAATAATAGTTAAAAATTAATGAATTGATATTATATAATGAATTAACTGAAATATTTCACTAGATCTACACATATGATGAAACAATCCTTTATTGTCCAAAAAATCAAATAAAGAGAATTTATGATAGCAGGTAGTGTTTTTCTTTTAAAAAAAAGATTTTTAAAATTTAACAGTAATTATATTGGCATCTTGTATAATCTAATAGAGATATTGAACTGCTTCCGTTTGCAACGCTTATAATATTTGTAAAATGATATCACAATGTAAAGGTAATATTAATAGCGTAATTTTTTTATTATTATATATACAGATTGACATTTGCATTTATTGCATATACGTAATATACTTTTATACAGTAACATCTGAGTTCTTCGTATACGAAAAACTAGAAAGATGCGATTGTGATGAGATGTCTTCCAAAAATTATGCACCGTCTGACTGTTCGCGCAGCGAGATCATTACCGTGCAATAGGAAATTGATGTTCTCATTACCTTAAAATATACTTTACTGTATACAACATATTTTTTTTTCCATTAGTGCAGTGTATGATTATGTGAATGTTTCTACATTACTGCACTTTTAGAAAATAAAGACCCGGGATGTAAACGTAACGTAAAAGAAAGCAACAGTGAACATAATCTTTTAGGAAGCATAAATTGGAACAACAAAATGTGAAAAAAAAGCATTTTACAAAATAAAACGTTTCTTTTCACATTCTGATGTTCCAACTTACGCTTTTAAGAGATTCATTCATACTTCTGCCATATTTCTCCCTTTATATTATTTACATTCCGAATTTATTTTTGTTAGGAATGACACTTCCATGTTCATACCATGTTGAAACCTTCCAAATTGATGACATATAACTTTGCGATTGTTATTCGGGAGGCTTTCTGACTTCTAACAATTAGTAACATGAGTAATTTCTGTATTTTTATGGGTACATTATACCATATTCCATTGTAACTGTAAAAAGAGATATTGTGCAAAAGCACACATTTCTTGAGTGTTCCGAATAGTTTTGTCTTACGCTGCCATCGAAACTCCGACGCTATGATCAGTCACTTCTTGTCCGGCCCAACTATTGAAAAATAATCGACAACTTTGCAGTATTGCGAGGGACAAATATCGCATAATTTCAGATGATCGTCCTGTTCGAACCACAATCTGTGAAAAACATCATCTTCAACAAATTTAAAATAATTTTCAATTGAAAAAATTGTATCAAAATTATAATGTTCTAAAGATTTACCTTTAAAATATAGATATTAATAATATTAATATCAATTAAAATTAATATACCATTCTTACCATTATGCACGAAGAAGTCTGCAATAAAAATCCTATTCCCACATCGGACAAGAAAAATAACGCAAACGTAGATTCCATTGTCTCTATAAATCTGGATTGATTAATATTAAAGTAAAATTATAATAACAAACATAGACGCACATATAAATATATGTAAACAGAGACTATTTTAAGGATATTGTCACCAACAATCTTATTCTTTCATGTAGTTGAATGCAGCGTCGTACACGTCGACCGATTTTGTCATGTCTATATGTGTAATTATTGTCAATCCACCGTAATTCATCGTGCACCATTAAATTTTCCAGACGATGACTATAAGAGTTACATCTATTTTTATATGTTTAACTTATTTTATTTATTACGAAATGATTTTCTTAATTGGAATTATAATCAAATTGATGTTAATCAATTCTCACCACAATATGCCGTACATTCCGCAAATATGCACCACCATCAAAACATACATGGTGTCAGTAGCAATCCCGAGCAAAACACACACAGTATAACCAATATACATGTTTAATAGAAGCGCGTAATAATGCTTCTCTTGATCCACAACAATAAAATCCACAAGGTGTGGCATTTTTTTCTGTCTTGTTTCATTTAAGGGTAAAATAATGTCGAGTATAGGGTCAGCGAGAGGTAACGTAACGTAACAGAATACGAATCCGCTTATGGAAACTGAATAACAAAAAAGAAAAAAAATTACATTTTTTTACATAAGGACATATATTAAGAAACTTAGTAAATAATTATTGTGAAGAGAAGAAAATAAATATATTGAAACAATTATTTATGCAACTTTTTTTGCAAGTTTCTCTATATTTATAAAAATGTATATATTTTTAATGTATTGAAAATATTAAATTGTCCGACGATAGTTACCAACTACTACGATACGTCACTAAAATATGAGTAAATTATTACTACTACGTTACTAAATATTAGTAACAATAGTATATAATAGTATATAAAATTGAATTCGTACTTGAATACACTAATGTAAACTTGCGACCATTTTCGGCATAACTCGTTAAAATCTGCGTTTCTTCACTTGTTAATAAATTGTCCCAGTCCTCGTGTGTCTGTTGCAGAAGTACCTCAAACTAAAATGATATCCTTTCAAAATGAGCTAATACCAATGAAAATCGTGCTTACCATTTTGGTATTGCGAATCAAACAAATGATTTTTGCAATACATATCAGTGTGCCACTTATATTTGGCATAAGTTCGAACACGACATCCAGATTTGGATGTTTGATTAAATATATAGTCTAATAATAAACAATGAATTTATGACGCACTTGTTATTTTTTTCATAAACTTAAAAACGTATATTTGCATTTTAACTTTTGTACACATGAATAATATAATTATTATTTAAATTAATATATATCAAACTTTTCTTTTATATTTTTCCTTAAGTTTATTAATTTTGATATTACTATTATTTAGTAAACTACCTCTGGCACAGTCATCATTACAATACCGTATATGGCAAATGATAGACTTAGAAGTTTCATAAAGGGTGTTTGGTACGGCCACAACCCTACAGAAGACAGAAGGAGTTTGTTAATTCTAAAGTACCGTGTTTCAAAGAAATCCATACTCATGCTTTGACACTCGCATTCGTATTGCATTTGTAAGTGTTCATCGTTAAAGCAATGGTCTTTACCACTCGTCTATAGCTGCTTAAATATTCCGTTAGATCTGCACATATTATAAAGTAACTTTTTAACGTCCAAGATACTAAATAGAGAGAATTTATGATAACAGATATATAGTACCCTTTCTAGTATACCTTTTCTCAAGTAATATTTCTTCTTTGAAAGAAATATTATATAAATATTATATAAATAAAGAAATATTACTTGAAATCTTTTTAAGATTAAATAATGAATATTGGCATTACGTATAGTAAACGAATATAGTAAACAGAGTGAATCGAACGAATCGTGAGGTCTACAGTATAATGCGTGATATTATAATACAAATAATGTTAATACATATATAATATTTGATCAATTTTATACAAATCAATATTTGTACTAAATGCAAATACATATTTTTATAGTAACAATTATTGCAGCAGCTTCTAAATCTTAATTCTACGACGACGATGAATCAATATTAGCATTTATTGCAAGTATTTAATAGATTTTTCTCTATTTTCATATTAATACCTGAGTATTAATATGATTATTAATATGATTATTATTGCAAGTATTTAATATATTTTTCTCTATTTTCATATTAATACCTTTTTATATTAATACCCTTTCTTAATATACAAAAGAAATCATATGATATGATCGAAGTAACTCTTATGCATCCTCTGATGGTTCACGCAGAGAGATCATTACCGTGCAATAGGAAACTGATGTTCTCATTGCCTTAAATATTTAACGAATATAAGAAATTACCAGTGAAATGAACAAATATGTTAACAAATATGTAATTTTAACATTATTACATGCAACGTTTTTTTTTTATCATATTAAATCCTTCCAAGTTAATATAACTTTGGAATATAACTTTGCAATTGTTATTTGAGAAGCCTTCTGGCTTCTCGCGATTAGTAACACCAGCAACTTTTGCGCCTTTACAGGTACATTATACCATAGTCCATTATAACTATAAAAAAAATCATGAAAAAACATTTCTTCTTATTTTGAATAGTTTTATCTTACGCTGCCATCGACACTTTCATGCTGTAATCGGTTACTTCTTGTCTCGACCAACTATTAAAAAATAATCAACCACTTTGCAGTATCACGAGAACTACGTATCGCAGAATTTCGACGACGATTGATTCGTTCGAATGACAAACTGCAAGAAAAAATAATTGATATTAACAAAATCTTCAGCAATAACAATAAAAGAATAATTTTCAGATAATATTAGAGGAGATTTAAAGTTTAAACCCAAAAACTTTAAAAAATGTTATCATACTAACTATTACGCACGAAGATATATGCAATAAAAGTATCGAAGAAGAGACATAGCATTAAAATAGATTTATAGATTCTATAGATTCTATTTATAGAATCTATAGATTCTGTCATCTCTGTAAATCTATATATTAAACATCATCAATATTTAAATAAAATTTTAATAATAAGAATATATGATATTTAAAAATTTATTTATGTAAATAAAACAGAAGTACTCTTTTAAAATATTGTCACACCAACAATCTTATTCTTTCATGTAATTGAATGCAGCATCGAATATGTTGATGAATACTGTATATAAAATTATTGTCCATTCTTCGTAATTCATTGTATGTCGTTAAATTTTTCAAGCGATAACTATAACAAGTATATTAATGTTTTTATATTTTCTGTATCTTCTGTTATATGTTTTTATACAGAATGGGTAAAGAAAGGTGCTTCTGGACAGAAAGTTATTCAATACATAAAAAAAGTCGGAAATGTAAAATAAAACTTTTTTTATATGCTTTGTTTCTGAAATAATTAAATTTGAAACTTTTTTGTGTATACTCATATATATGACGAATTCCTGAGACAAATCAGATTTTATTATACACAATTACATTAATAATTACTATTAAGTAAGACTAATTTATAACATATTTTAACAATTTTTGCATATGTACTCTATGAATTTTCAAATGTCAGTCAATTATCTTTGAAATCAAGTTATATAAATAAATGTGATTCTGTATTTTTAATTTATTTATATATATTAAGTAATTTTCTGTCCGACTGTTTGTTTCAGCGTATTCTTAATTTTACGTACATTTAACTTTCATTT